TTGTCCTGGGTTGGGCCCCTGTGTCGGCGGAGGACGGGATTTTGGTGGTTGAAGGCAATCGGAGCCTTGAGCCGTTTTCCTTTTGCCGAACACTCCACTTCGGCCCTTACTTCATCAAGACGGGTGGTAGAATTGGCCCGATTCTATCAATCGGCGCTGGTCACGCCAAGTCCTGTGCATGTTTATTTTATTGTTGAGTCTTGGACATTTTGAGTTTCAATACACAAATTATTTATATATTAAATTGCCTACAGTCCTATGCCAGAAGGCGGTGGCTCATGGGCCAATCTGGTGATGCTGACCTCTGAATAATGTACATGTATGTCTCCAATTTCTTGTCAATGGCCGAACAAGTCTGGCATTAAATTGGTAGATAAATGCAGCTATTCATGTCATATTCTCTGGAGTATAACACCCCTGTATCCCTGGTGTCAGCATCTTGGAGATCCGATGCATATTGACACCGTTGTTGAAACTCCATGGTGGGTGGGGAGCAGGGTGTTGAATCATTTCCTTTCGCCATGGGACTATCACATGCTGGTTCGTCTCGTAGTGAAAAGAAAAAACGTTTTGAAGATTTAAGTCCCTCAACTGTAGCACATTCTTCTGACTGTGATTCTTGGCCACGATTTCTAATCAAATTAAATCCGTTTGCCATTTCAAAGGCTGTATCTAGTATTTGTACCTATCTCTTGACGTTTGCTCGGTCTCATATTCCAACGTCAATTAAATCAGGATATTTCAACATCGGAGTGGAGGTGTATGTCCCCAATCCACTCCGGTGTTATAAATGTCAGAAGTTTCGGCCACGGATCACAGTCTTGTCGCAACTCTCTGGTCTGTCGCCGTTGTGCAGACCATCATGAGGAAACAGATTGTCAGAAAGATCACATGTGCGCAAACTGTGATGGTCAGCATCCTGCTTCATCCAGGTCATGCCCTGTGTGGCAAAAGGAGTCCAAAATCATGAGACATAAGTGTGAAAAAAGTATTTCGTACTTTGAGGCACAAAAGCTGTTATCAGGCCAAACATCAACTCCGTCCAATGTCACTTATTCTGCTGCAGTTACACGCTCTGTGGCGACGTCCTCTATTTCCTGTCAGACTGACTTGACTTCAGAGAAACCAGTTGTGTCAGCCACTCTATCTACTCCCACTGATGACCAGTGTGGGAGTGATCACTTCCCCACCATTCTTAAAACAATCAACCCTTGTGATGATCAACCTTTATCAAGGAGGAACTTGGCCAGGGCTGATTGTTCATTATATGAGACTGAGTGTTGAACGCTGGGAGCATGACCTTTTCAGGAACAGTGAAGATCCTACACAGTCGTTTTCGGATATTTTAAATGACATTGTTGACAGAACGATTCCACAGTCCTCTGCAGCTCCACACATTCGGGAACCATGGTTTAATAATGAATGTAAACAGGCCAGAAAGTGCAGGAAGAAAGCGGAAAAATATTTTCGTAAACATCCTACAGTCCATAATTTAGACAAAGTTAAAATTTCAAATGCCAAGGCTCGACGCTCATTTAAACAGAATAAGCGTCAGTCTTGGAGAAACTATGTTTCCAAAATAAATTCACGTACATCTATGTCAAAGGTGTGGAACATGGTCCAAAGAATAAAGGGCAAATGTTCTAAATCTGCTGTACACCATCTGAAGGATGGTGATAATATAGTAACTAATAAGGCTGAAATAGCAAATAAAATTGGCGAAACTCTTGCCAAACATTCTTCTTCATCATATTATGTCCCTGAGTTTCAAAAACATCAGAAACAACAGGAGAAGAAAAGAATCAATTTTAACTCAGACAATGGTGAAGATGATGAATTATTTTCACTACATGAGCTACATACCGCCCTTGAGCAAGTTCATGATACAGCAACAGGGACTGATAATATACACTATCAGCTCCTGAAGCATTTGCCCGAGTCATGTTTGGAAACGCTGCTAAATATATTTGATATGATATGGACTACAGGGAATTTCCCAACTTCATGGCGTAATGCCATTGTAGTCCCCATTCCAAAACCTGGATACTGATACTGATATCCGTCTAATTACAGACCAATCTCTTTAACGAGTTGTGTCTGTAAAACCATGGAACGAATGGTAAACAATAGATGAACTTGGTATCTTGAAACCAATAACCTTATAACCAATATTCAATGTGGTTTCAGGAAAAATGTTTTGGTGCATGTCGTTTGTGTGTACTGTGAAATAAACAAGAAAATGGGTGAGTTACCGCTACAAATTCTGAGCAGGGATTTTGGCTCGGAATCGAGAAATCGCGATTATTTTTCGAGATTTCGAAGACCCTAGCTTCCAAAGTACTGCTTCGATATTTTGTGCTGTATGTCTCATTGTTTAGGTAAATCTATTGGCTTGAAATGTGTGCATACTTTAAATGGGATAAATACAGTGAGCATTGTTGAATTCGCCTTGAAACGAACCTGGTGTGTTGACATCGTTACATCCCTTTCCTTTTATATAGTACTAACACCCTGTTAGTGACAGTACATACCTTGATGGCAGTTTTTAGCGTTTCACGCCCCTGTGGTATTTGCATCATTTGAATTCAGTAAATGTTTAAAATTGTCCAGACATATGGTACATGGTAAAGAGACAATTATTCCATACGGAGACTTTTTTTCATATAATAGACATAGATAATACATGAATTTTAATTGAAGAGGAGCCCCAGTGAGATGGGAAATTCAGAACCTGAGGAAATCATTCAGGGAAAATAATGTGGTTCAGGGACTTTGAGACAGGCTACAGTTATGTTAACGATAGAAACTAGGTCGGCATGGTGACAGAGCCCTGTGACCTTGCCCTTGGGTATTTCCCCTCAACTGGACAAAGCCATGCCCCGTTCCGATCAGATGCTACAACAAGTCAGGCCTTCTTGATTTGTTTTTCATTTCACAATCGAATGCTTTGTTGCCTCGGATTATTTTACCTGAATACATTTCTTCTGAAGTCACGTGACATTACATACCAGCATTATACTTCATGAATCAACCATGGCAACTGCCAAGTTTTGGCCAGATAAGAAGCATTTCTTATGACATGTTTTGAAAACTGATAATGTATGTAGTTGGGAGCGTGCTTCTTCTGTAGGTAATATTTATCTAGTGTACCACGTGACCTCTGTGGGTCGAGCCCGTCTTTGATTTTTTTTAATAAGAAAACTTGTTGCTGATTATATTACTGTTACTTGCCTCTGGTTTTACACTATCAGGCGATCTCTATGTGACTTGGTTAGAAATATTTTGTTGATCATAAAGAGAATCCTCTAAATGAGAATCTCTTGATAGTGAATGAGTGGGTTTAGTTTTACGCTGTTTTCAGCAACATTTCAGCAATATCACGGCGGGGGACACCAGAAATGGGAATCGAACCCGGGTCTTCGGCGTGACGAGCGAACGCTCTAACCCTTAGGCTACCCCACCGCCCCGTCACTTGACAGAGACGGAAACCAAACATCAGTTTATAAGCAATGAAGCAAATCATTAGAAGCTAATTCTCCCGAATATTCCTTGTATCTTCGAGAGTAAAACGCACGGTAAACCAGCTTATAATTTGGATTCTTCAGGCATTTATACAAATCCCAACAAACGTATCCGCTAACACACACGCATCCGACTCATCAGCAGCACACACACACAAACACACATTTGTACAGTTTTATCAAGCAACAGCGCTTCTCTATCATGAATTGCCGTAGGAGTGGAAGGGGTTAGACGTTAAGTTCAACCACGCATGACTTTCGTGGTCCCTGTGGCAATAACCCGCATTCTCTTGATTCCACGAAACAGGACCTCAATACACGCTGAGAGGGATCGAGAAAGACGGAGGGATGGAGAGCGGGAGAGAGGGAGGGAGGAGAGGGTGGGAAAGGTAAGAAGGGGGGAGAAAGAGGGGGAGAGCGGGGAGGAGGGAGAGCGGAGGGAGGGAGGGAGAGGGTGGGAAGGGAGTGGGAAAGGTAATAAGGAGGGGAGAGAAAGAGAGGGAAGGAGGAGGGAGGGAGGAAGGGAGAGAGGGAGGGAGGAAGGTAAGAAGGAAGAAAGAGAGAGGGGGAGGGAGAGGGGAAAGGTAAGAAGGAGGGAGAGAAAGAGAGAGCGGGAGGAGAGCGGGAGAGAGGGGGGAGGGAGAGGTAGGAAGGGAGTGGGAAAGGTAATAAGGAGGGAGAGAAAAAGAGAGGGGAGAGGAGGGAGGAGGGAGAGAGGGAGGGAGGGAGAGGTAGGAAGGAGTGGGAAAGGTAATAAGGAGGGGAGAAAGAGAGGGGAAGGAGGAGGGAGGGAGGCAAGGAGGGAGGGAGGCAAGGAGGGAGGGAGGGAGGTAAGAAGGAAGAGGGAGGAAAGAGAGAGGGGAAGGAGGAGGGAGGGAGGGAAGGGAGAGAGGGGAGGGAGGAAGGTAAGAAGGAAGAAAGAGAGAGGGGGAGAAAGTGGGAAAGGTAATAAGGAGGGGAGAGAAAGAGAGGGGAAGGAGGAGGGAGGAAAGAAGGGGAGGAAGGAGAGAGAGGGGAGGGAGGAAGGTAAGAAGGAAGAAAGAGAGAGGGGGGAGCGGGAGAGGAAGAGGGAGGAAAGAGAGAGAGGGGAGGGAGGAAGGGAGCAAGGTAGAAAGAGGGAGAGAGAGGGTTGAGGGAGGGCGAGAGAGAGGTGGTGAGTAGTGGGAGAGGAGGATGGAGTCCGGTCTCTTCCCTCAGTACCGCATTTTGTATACCCACGTGTTACAAGACGAGTAAAGGTACATTGGACGTAAAGTACTGAATAGTCTGTCTCACAGTCCCTGAACCACATTATTTTCCCTACTGCGCGCCTAGCCCTATCTGCAGTGCTAAAGCCCTAAATAAAGCAAATCTAGATTTCCTCAGGTTCAGAATCTCTGGTCTATCTAGGGCTCCTTTTCAATTTAAATGGGTTTGTTTGTTGCTATCAAAATTATGTATACTAGTATTCAGAAACTAAGCGTTAGTCTAAGTACTTACCACGAACGTCCACAGCAGTTGCCAGGTAACCAGCATTTAGGATGACGAGAGCGACTGTGATGGCGTGCATGTTGATGTAGCGGCGAACCCAGCTGGGGTCTATAACTGTGTACTCTCTTGTGCGGCGGATACGTGATGACTGTCCTCCCCAAACCGGACGCGATTGTTAGTTGACGAAAAAAATCCCGAACGCTGCACGAAATGTTCAAATCATGTTCAACATAACAGTACCTACTTAATCGACATAAACGTGGAAACGGATGGTTTGTACGAAAAGTATTGAGAGCCTTGATTACAAGCAACGCCTGCCCGGAGGCAAAACATGGGATTGTTCAGATATCCAGAGCAGACACGTTGGGCTCGGATTATGCATGTTTGTTTTATTATCCTTTTATGTCATCTGGCTGATATGTCTCGCTTGAGAGATTTTTACTTGAACATTTATTGTTCGGTTCTATGTCGTCGGTGTCTTAAAGCAGTGTATGATCTAGACATGTCGCTGCCCTGAACTACGTAATAACCCACGGGTCCAACCACTTGCAGTTTGCAGTTTTGCAAATATATTTCTTTAATTCAGTACTTGATATTTCAGGCCTATAGTACATTACAATACAAACTTACACTCAGACATAGTATAAAAATATAAACAGAATTGTAAAAGCTCACCCAGCTAGTTTGCAGACTCATTTTGCATTTACGTCATATCTGTACATGGAGGCATGATAAATGAACCTAGCTAAATCTTGCAGAACTTTACCATTTGTATTTGATAACAATAAATACAATTTAGTTAAATTTGGGTATTTAAAGTAATAGGGTTGCAGATATCTTTCTCTATGTTGTAAGTAAACAGGACATACAAGCACAAAATGATACTCATCTTCAACTGAATTTAAGTTACAAACATTGCACATTATTTGGTCCCGACTTATGTTTATATAACGTCCCGTTTCAATAATAATAATGATAAAAATAATAATAAAAAATTGATGAGCAAACGTGGCCGTCCGTGATTGCCGTGGATGCCGTGACAGATTTTTAAACTGTTCAAACATTTGCCATGGCAGTCACGGTACTAATGAGAAAGCTAGTAGGCCGTAGTAAAACGGGGTAAACGCAACAAAGACAGACTCTCAGACAGACAGACAGACAGTTTATTAGGTCTCACCTCGTGCAATGCAACATAAAAATAAATTATTAGACATAAATTCATTGACGAGCCACCCATATAGGGTTACGAGAGACACATAAACAGTTAGAAAACAGTATATACAGTAAAATATATAAAGTGTTTCACCCATTACTATATAAAATACCCCTTCTTCTTTCTAAAATAAACTTGCAGGTTTTGGCCAATAAAAATACAATATCCGGGTTAGACAATATAAAACTGACTTTATCACAGGCGCTTTTGTATGACTATTCCCGTTTTGTCTACCCATGAACATAAACATATAATGGATCACCCCTACACTTAATAATGTACTGTACATGTACAGTTGATTACTCCCAGTTTTCACCTGCGTTTGAATCATCAGAATCTAAATGAATCAGGGATCTTGTGATCATTCATTGTTTGTTTGATATTTAGGGATAACTCCTCTACTCTAGATCCGATTAAAGGAGAATACGAGTTAATTGCAATAATTTGCTGGGTGAAAGATAAAGTCATCAGAAACATATTCCCAAATTTTCAATTAAAAATTATGTATAATTATGTTTTACTCGCGAAAACAGTTTATGTAAATCTCAGCTTCGGCCATTATGCATCTTTCGCTGGAACCCACGTGACCTTTCCGCTCGTGACGTCAAATGTGCCTGGAGTCCGCCATATTGCCAAAGAACAAGCGCTACAGTAGTACAAATCGTGTTGTTTCTGTCGTTTTTGTAAATGGTACGATGGTGTATTCCGTTGTCTGGGGATGCACGGAATCATCGAACAATGGAAAGCCACCAGTTCTTCCGTTTAAAGGTACAGATAATCATTATACTTTGAGTTCTCTACTCAACTTTTCAGGTATAGGGATACAAAATAAAAATGTTCCAACTGTCACATTTATCAACAAGTATATAAGACCCAGTCACAGATATTTTGTGTTAGCTATGGCTGGTGTTCAGCGACAGAGTTTGTCGTATCTCAGAGAAGAGCCCGACAAGTTCTGCATGCAGGACTTCGGTATAAGCTGAACAGGTCTGGTAATATGTATGGCTACTGGAAGTGTGTTGTTCCAAGATATAGAAGTAACTTGTCAACAGCTGGAGATTTTATCAGAACAGTTACTGGAGAGCACAATCACGGCCCGACAATCCAGACACACAATGGCATTGTGTATTTCGAATCCAGACACGCAATGGCATTGTGTATTTCGAATCCAGACACACAATGGCATTGTGTATTTCGAATCCAGACACGCAATGGCATTGTGTATTTCGAATCCAGACACGCAATGGCATTGTGTATTTCGAATCCAGACACACAATGGCATTGTGTATTTCGAATCCAGACACACAATGGCATTGTGTATTTCGAATCCAGACACACAATGGCATTGTGTATTTCGAATCCAGACACACAATGGCATTGTGTATTTCGAATCCAGACACGCAATGGCATTGTGTATTTCGAATCCAGACACACAATGGCATTGTGTATTTCGAATCCAGACACACAATGGCATTGTGTATTTCGAATCCAGACACAGTTAGACTCATGGGCACACTGAAAGAAAGAGCCAGAGATGAGTAAACTCCAATGCCCCAGATCTACAATGAAGAGCTCCGCCAACTGCCTGTTGATGATGCTGCTATTGCACAACCTCTGTCCAGTGTGAAGTCATCATTGTATATCTTTGAATTTATTGAGGCATTCAAGAGCATCGAGGCAATGGACAGGAGAAGGATTGCCCAGCTGGGCCATGGAGCTCCTGCACCACCACCCAGGAAAAGGATGTACAGAGAGCTTGACACTCGCCTACGCCGTTTACAGGGTCAGCTCAAGAGAAGGCAGAAGTCGCCCATTGACTTTGTTCGTGCTGCAAGGCTGGGTGGCAAAACAGTATTTGTAAATCCCCTTTGAACTCTTCCACAACAATGACCTAACGTAACCGGACATGTTATTGTCATGAAGACAAGAAAACCTATTGTTGTGATCATATTCAAATGTTCTACTACGGTCTGATTCGGTGCACGTGGTCTGGGAGGGAGTATAAACAAAATTTGTCTTTGGCCCCCCTTTACCTCGAAGAAGAAGCATTTGCTCGATATAAAGGCCACCGGCCCAACCACAATGTGAGTATATACATACAGGTGCTTAAAGGGGCACTGATCCAGAGCGATTGATATTTCACGCCAACAATCTAACTATGTGACCTAGCTGTCAGGTGCTCCCTCGACCGTGACGGACACGATGACTTGGACAACTGTCCACGTTGGCACTATTTTTTCTACCTAAACAATGGGACAATAAGAACGGTGGATGCCCATCAGATGCCGTTATCTGAAAATATCCGGTAGTTATAGTCTAATAAAGTATACCAGCAGAGTAAGCTTTGTAATACCCCACTGATCGCCATGTTGAGATCTACACTGTGGTGAAATGTCACGTTGATACATTAATATTTTGCAGAATTACGTATACAACCTGTTGCATATGCATGATTTGTGCAAAAAAGACCTAACTCAGACTTGTTCTGCCTCTGAACGGGCATGACTTGTTTGCCTCAAAACTCTTCAAAAAAGGTCTGGAGAACATATGTCAAGCTGGAAGGAAGCTCTGGGAAAAGAGAAAATTACTACAATACTTTGATTAAAAATAGTAAGTGCTGAGCAATACTTTCAAATATAAGAGTCAGAGTATACTATAACAGTGATTTTGTGTGAAAATGGCAATATACTTATGTATATGAAACATATTCAAATGTGGTTTCAGGACTTTGGTTAATTTGGCACAAAATCATTTGAGTCAGGGCTCCAGATAAGGGCCGTGTCGGCGTATGTACGGATAAAAAAATATGCACGATACGGTAGGAAATAATTTAGAAAACGTAGCAGATACGCACCACAGCAATGGTGTACGGTCTTAAAATCATTTACAGACGTACTTATGTGAAAAGGTATTGTTTTATTGTTTATTGACCTGTTTACACAAGACTAGCAACATATATGAAACAAAACACATTGTTACTGATACTCCATTAAATTCCATTCAGTATTCTAAATGTACTCTTAATTTTTTTCCAGTACTCCATACTCCTGATGTTGCAAAATTATCTGGAGCCATACACAAAATACATAAAATATAAAAATACAACATTCAGTCAGTAGTCAAAATATGTAATAAAAGTATTTTTCGAAACTTTTCATCGTAGTCATCACACAGAGGACGTATATAGTGTAATCTTGCCTCACACATAAATGTCGTTTTCAGATTGGCTGAGGGCTCTTCTATTATTTTCAATGTACCCCGCTTACAAGCAAGTAACATTTTCTATGAACCCATTTGGTACTTTGTAGTAGTAATTCTTTATATCGAATGACATCGAATGACGTATGATGTACGGAAATTACCGACGTTTTACGAATGCAAATCGATGGTAGGGAGATAACTCTAAATTTGTTTTTCTTGTATGGTACTCCCTACTATGATCCGATACCTGTGCTTCAAACAGTTCAAAATTACCATTGAGGTGTTCGGTAAGATAAATACGTTGTTCGATGGTCCCTCGGGGCCCATGGGTTGATGTACCCTCGATGTTTCCCCTCGAGACCAGTGAACAACTTATATATGCAGAAAAGGGTTCACAGGGGGCAGTACTCTTCGGGCTTTAATCCCAGCTTCTCTCGTTACACTGTGTCTCCATTACGTCTGTTTATAAACCCGGGTGTGACGGATCTGACACTGTGTCTCCATTACGTCTGTTTATAAACCCGGGTGTGATGGATCTGACACTGTGTCTCCATTACGTCTGTTTATAAACCCAGGTGTGATGGATCTGACACTGTGTCTCCATTACGTCTGTTTATAAACCCGGGTGTGATGGATCTGACACTGTGTCCCTATTATGTCTGTTTATAAACCCGGGTGTGATGGATCTGACACTGTGTCTCCATTACGTCTGTTTATAAACCCGGGTGTGATGGATCTGACACTGTGTCTCCATTACGTCTGTTTATAAACCCGGGTGTGGCGGATCTGACACAGTGTCTCCATTACGTCTGTTTATAAACCCGGGTGTGATGGATCTGACACTGTGTCTCCATTACGTCTGTTTATAAACCCGGGTGTGATGGATCTGACACTGTGTCCCTATTATGTCTGTTTATAAACCCGGGTGTGATGGATCTGACACTGTGTCCCTATTATG